GAAGTTCGGGGACGGACTTCCAGTTTGCTCAGAGGGTCATTGTGACTGCTCCGGAAGCTTCAGGGAAGCCTCCTGAAGGTCCCTGAAGCCTCCGGAGGGCTTCCAGGGGGCGGGGGAGGCTGTTTTCACCCTCCCCAGGCTCCAGAGGCTTTATAGGAGCCTGGGGAGGGCGAAAAGAGCCTCCCCCCCAGAGGCGTCATGAGCTTCCCTGAAGCCTCCGGAGTGCAAAAAACCAGCCCTATGGGCAAACCGGAAGTTCGGGGACGGACTTCCAGTTTGCTCAGAGGGTCATTGTGACTGCTCCGGAAGCTTCAGGGAAGCCTCCTGAAGGTCCCTGAAGCCTCCGGAGGGCTTCCGGGGGGCGGGGGAGGCTGTTTTCACCCACCCCAGGCTCCTATAAAGCCTCTGGAGCCTGGGGAGGGTGAAAAAAGCATGCAAAAAATGGGGGCGAGTGCTTGTATTGCGCGCATGCGCACGGGGGGGATTGTGCATTGCATTATGGGTGCAGCACACCCGCACATGACCCTCCCTGCGCTCCCCCCACTTATGGCACACGAGCCAAAAAAAGTTTGCTATCGCTGTATTAGAGTCTGGTTTATCTGTTATTAATAATCTATTTGAAGCAGCTTTTCTCACTTGATAAACTCTGGGATAATAGATGGTATAATTAAGCATATTGGTGTAAAAATTGAATGGAGAAAGACAATAGTTGAAATTCTCAACTCTGTACCATCAGAATTTTTCAGTCTCTCATTTTAAAATATTTTTAAAAATTCAAGATAATTATTAATGTGTTCTTTTTCATAGCAAATAATAGCTTTTACCTTGTATCTGGAAGGCTTGCTCCCAGTTTATAGTTTCTGGGTTCTCCAACAATGCCTGGTAAGCGTCCAGATTTTTGTAGAAGACAGCACAGGCATTTGTAAAGTAGTCTAGGGCATCACTTTTGGACTATGTGTGAAAAAAGCAGCATCTTAATTCAATTCATAGTATTATGCACGCAGATATGCACCTAGTTTGTTGCTATCGATAAAGGTCATAGAAATGAAACGAGGAGGTCTGCAGATCAGGGCACTGACTAGCTGCAGATTAATAGGAGAACCTACAAGGAACTGCAGCTAGGATACCAGTTGGGAGTTTTCTTGGTTTGGGAAGGAAGAATTGACTACTTTCAACCTGGAAAATGATTGTTGCCTGGACTGCATTCACATAATGCATTACACAAAACAAAACAATTCAATTGAAATAACCATTAACCCCTGAATTCAACCCTACTCTATGTGCAGAGACCAAATCAAAATAACTTCAACAAATCGCTACCTCAAAATTACAGGGTTCTATCTGACGAAAATGAGTTAAGAGTGTGACAAGGTTCTATATATTTAATATAATTAAATATGATTTTATTTTTTAACAACTTATTTTGTAAAATTTCTAAATAAATTTGCCACAAGTAGCAAAATTATAAGGTTCTATCTGCACTATCGCACAAAAACTCAGAATTATAAGGTTCTATTTGCAGCATCCAATTGTTGTGCTTGTGACGGAGCAAGGATGGAGCCTGCAGCGCCTAGCGTTGCCTCCGTTTCTGACACGTGAATGCCGAAATAATGTCTCTTTTTCACAATATGGAAGCAAGTTCAGACTTATATGAACCAAGTGGATCCGAGTATGTTCCAGAAACTGAAGATGACCAATCAGATATGAAACTTCTAATTGAAAATGAATGAGTAGTCTGTGCTTTAAGTCTATTCACAAAAGCTATTGCAATACAGGCCCGGAAACCTTGCATTTTGATCCTAGTAATTTATTTATATATATGGGGAGAAAGTAGCTGACATCGCGATGGTATGACGTGTGACCTCGGACACTTTTGCTGCTGGACGGTCCACCTGGATCTAAACCGTCCCGAAGATACGGTGACAGGGAAGAGTAGGTCTTGCTGATCTCAGGGACATCACAAAGTCCCTGATTGATTCAAGAGAATTTCTTCTAGTTGGTGACAAAAAGCACAGCCTCAAGTTGCTGAAGTTGGGACAGCTCCTCAACAGGAGGAAAGCGGAAAGAGAAAGTGTGCCCATCTGGTGAGGAAATCTTATTTTTATAAAAGATTGCCCCAAAAAGATTGAAGTTAAATTAAACTGGTAAAGAAAAGGAAATAAACAGCGAAAATAAGCATTATTGGACAGTGTGTTATCTTTTTTGTTTTTGTTTTTTTCTATCGATGGAAGTTTTATGAACATTTTTTACTTTTTAAAGTGAAAGTATTGGATTTTCTTCTTCTATTTCTTTTTTTACCTACGGATTAAATCTTTTCCTTTATTTCTACAATACTGGTTGGGATGGTTTCTTTCTTTTTATTTTGTTTCATTTAAGAATTTTGTTTCTTCTAAGCCTAAAACATAAAGAAGATATAAAAGGAATATAAAGAGGGCAGTAATCTTAGAGGGAAAAGAAGTTACACTGTCACTTGGAGGTTGGAGGTTGAGACCTTGAAAAATTGTTTTTTCTTTTTCCCCTTTGATCATTTTGACGTTGCACTTCAAAGGCTTCAGCTTGTTTATAGAGAAGAGCATAGGTTGTTTATGCAGGTGCTCTCTGGAAGCTTGTTAGTAGCTGGAAAGAAGTGAAAACAAAGATTTGTTTTTAAACTAGAGTGGTAGTGTTTACTAATTGGAAGGATGGCATGACTTCAAAAAGAAAACATAACATTACAACAGATTATGTTTGGAATTCAAAAATTATTAGAAACAACAGAGAGAATTGAGAAGAGATGGGAAAATATTGAAAATATAAATTTTAATGTTGGAAAAATGGAAGATATTCAGCAAATGGAAAAAGTGGAGGCTAGAGTCCTAAAAACCCAAGGTAAAAATGAACAAAGAGGCAAGATAACCATGGATATTGACAGTGAACTGAGTGTGGTTGGAGTTGGGAAGAGTGGAACAAAGAAAAGGAACATAGATGGAAGGGTGCTTTATTACAGATTTCAAGGTATAGAAGAAGAAAAAAGAGAAGAATGGATGGACTTAAGGAGAGAAACTTTGACAAAAACACTACTGATAACCAAAGATAAGCTGATTAAAGAACCTGATGGAGGGTTTTGAGATTTTACAAGATATGTAACAAGGACTACACTATTACTGGAAAGACGCAGGTTGAGATATGAAAGTCAATAATAAAACACTAGTTAAATTTAGTTAAAATTAGAGCATTATGTTAAAAATGTAGTGATAATGGATAATGGATAAAGTAAAACTGATAGTGATAACAATGTATACTGGTTTTGGTTTGATAAGAGGAAATTTGGTATAAATTTTAAATAGTGAAAAAAGGGGAAAAAGTAAATTAAACTTAGTCAAACTATTGTTAAATAAATGACTGATAATGATAATAATGTAATAATTTGTATTGACATGATAAAAGGGAAATTGGATATAAATTGTAAACAATGATTAAGAAAAGAGGTCTAAAAGTTTTGTTATTAAACATAATTAATTTTTATTTTGAATGTGTTATAAAGGTATAATTTAGCTGGATGATATTGAAAATAGATAAGGGAATGCCAATATGTGGTTTTGTTTTAAATTTTGGAATGTTTGTTATAAAGGGACGTTAAAACAACTATAGTCATATGAAGGATGAGGTATGATGATAGCAATATATATATAAATATATGTGATGTAAAATATATAACTTGATATGAATCATAAGTGATGACTGTGGAAGGGATGCACTAAAGTTCTTTGTAACCAATTGACACACTTTCTACAATTTGTAATGGAAGATGATTTTAAGGTATTTGTTTGTGTTTATTCAAAAAATAAAATTTTTATTTAAAAAAAAAGACAACCTTTGCTATGGAAGATTAGAACCCTGTAATTCTGAGGTAGCGAAATGTCTATCTAGACCAGGAGTAGTCAGCCTTTTTATACCTACCACCCACTTTTGTATCTCTGTAGTAGTAATATTTTCTAACCGCCCACCGGTTCCACAGCAATGGTGATTTATAAAGTAGGGAAGTAACTTTACTTTATAAAATTTATAAAGCAGAGTTACAGCAAACCCTACCACCCACCATGAAAGCTGGAACACCCACTAGTGGGCAGTAGGGACCAAGTTGACTACCACTGATCTAGACTTTGCTTGAGCTCATGCAGTGAAAGGAAGTCCATCATTTTCCTTGGGAAAAGCAGGCCTTTAGGAAGATGGTTAAGAGCCACAATGAGTACAATCTTTCTTTTTTAGGAATTATAATAGAGATAGCACATTCACCACTTGTTGCTTATTTCATTTTAATGTTATGTTTGGTATTATTAGTGTGATCTTCTCAGAGGCTATTAGAAATTTTCATTTACACTTTTAGTTCTACTTATAACTAAATCTGAAATGTCAATTAAAATTAATTATAGTTTAGAGGAAGAATAGGTAAACCTAGCTCACAGTCCCTAGCTCACCAAATTTCTCACTTTCCTCTAAAATTTCCCCAACTGATTTTGAGCCTCTTCTTTAAAAGCTCATTTTTTTACAGGTACATTCTAAATGAAGTGCTTGGTGCCCACCCAGTAATCATAGTTGCATTAAGACCAAAATGGTTGTCCACTCTTAATTTAGAGAAACAATCAAAACTTAGAAATTGGTTGGTTCCTTGAAAACATAGTTAAAATAACCAATGACAACTACAGTTTTGACATAAAAGCAAATTAGAATAAAAATGAAAGCAAAAGTAGCCAGGACATTGAATTTTGTAACTCTACACGTTAATATAATAGACATCCACATTTTTGGAGGACACCAGCTCAAGAAAATCTGTATAAATTTTAGATTAATGCCCCTCATTGTGCATTTCAGGGTACTTAGGATAGATCCATTACCATTTTACCTCTTTTTGTCGGCGAGTAATCACAGCTTTAAATTCTGGCCATGAATCCACAACCACTTCCTTTTTGAATGGATTTCCCCTGTTTATATTCAACACTGCTCCATAAACCTACAAAAAAAGGTGAGTTTACACAGTTTTATTAAACAATAACGCTTTTAAAAATCTATTTCTTTCAGTTTTTTTAATATTCTCAAAGCTTTTACCAACTTGCACTATTTGCAACTTCAGCATTTATTGACATCTTCATTCAGACTAACAGCATTTTCAGATACGTAAAGTATTAGAGGCAACTATTAAATGTTACAAGACAAAGACGAATGAACGGGAAAAGCTATTAGAGATTTTCATTTTGTTTAAACAATGGAAAATTTCTCTAATATTGCTGTCAACAATTTTAATGGATCTTAAATTATGGCTTATTCAACAAAATGAATAGATTATATTTACAGATCTTAATTGCATTTGTATAGAAAAGGAATAAGTAAATCATCATGCTGGAGATATAATAAGAGCAATGTTTCATCAAAACATTGAAGTAATGGTGTAAGGTTTTATGTTCTAGAAAACAATACTGACCTTACGATAGTTTAACATTTTTCAAAATCCATATTCTTTTTAATTACCTATTAAATGGAGACAGGCCGCTGACCAACAGAAATGGATTCTGTTTGCAATTCTAGCTGTCAAAGGACTAATCTTTCAACATCAGGAAAATAAATTTATACTCTCCCTTTCCCCAAAATTACTCCCCAAAAAGCACCAGTGAAACCCCAACTTATAAATGAATTGCTTACAGACTTATTTAGGGATGTGTACTATGAGATATGGTCCTTTTATTAGAACACTTATGTAAAACCTTCTATATATACAGATAGTCATCAACTTACAACACTGGCAATTTTTTTTTGCAAATAATGGTTACATGACCAAAGGATGTTGCAAACTGTTGTGAAGGTGAGCCAGTTTCCAAGCCCCCAAAATGCAATCATGGGAGGATGGGGGGAAAGATGGGGTGTGGCACAACATTTTATGAACAACCAGAAGTGCTTTTCAAGCAATAAAGGACTCATTCAGGGCCTGTCATAATTTCAAATGGTCATTAAGCAACTGATGGCAGGTTGAAGACATGCTTATGTCTTCTGTATAGGTCTTATGTATAGGTAGTCCTCGCTTAATGCACATTTGGTTTTTTTTGTTTTGTTTTTAAGTGTTTTTTTCTAATTTTGGGTTTTCCATTTTACAACCTGTTGTCTTATACATATTCTTCTTTGGAACGAACTCCCCACGGAGATTCGGACTCTCATCTCTCTCCTGGCCTTCCGAAAAGCCGTTAAAACCTGGCTGTGTTGGCAGGCCTGGGGTTGATGAGCTCCCTTCCCCTCTCGACAGGTGTTGGTTGTTGGCTATTTTAAATGCTT